AGTGCATGGCTGCTTAGCTGCTTGGAAGTGTGTTTGCCAGGGCAATCCACAGGGCCATTTCTCAGGCATGGGATGCAGCCACACACCTTCTTGGCTGGCCTGGGTACATGTCTGCTGGGGGTGGCCAACAGAGCTGTTTCTCAAGTGTTGATTGCACATGCAGGTCCTTTGGGCAGGTCAGCAGCATGTTCATGGTAGGGGTGTGGTCCCATGCTGCTACTGTGTCTTAGGCCCTGGGCATGGGCACACAGCTGCTCTGTGGGCCCAGTGGCATGTCAGCTGTTAGGTGGATCAAGGACCCCTCTCACTTCAGAGAGGGTGTGCAGCAGTTTAGCTGGCTTAAGTGTAGGCTCTCCTTAGATAAGACTTCCAGAATCTTCCTCCAGCTCTAAAACCAGACAGTGTGTAGGTTGGTTTCACTGCTGTGCAGGACCGGAGTCACAGGCAATCCTGGGCCCAGACTCCATGCAGCTGGAGTTGTGGGATTCGGCCACCTGTGTGGGCTTCACACAGCTACTCAGTCAGCTTCTCGTTTCTCCAAGCCCTGGTTGTGAATGTGAGCCAATCCAAGGGTGTGTTCATGGAGGGAGTAGGTGCTATAGGCCTGTGTTTCAGGCTCTGTACATCTGCATATGGCCACTCTGCTAGCCTAGGGGTAGGCATGTCAGTTGTTTGATGGGCTAGGACCTCTCCTGCTTGAGGGAGGACACATAGTCATTTGGCTGGCTTAAAGGAAGGTTCACCCTGGGTGAAACTGCCAGACTGTTCCTTCAGCTGTATTGCAGATGACAGGGGTTGGTTTCACTGTGGTGCAGGACCAGAGTCACAGCCAATCCTGGGCCCAGTCTTTGTGCAGTTGGCCCACATGTGGGCTTGGTGGAATGAAGATGGAGCCCCAGTGCTGGAGAAGTGCAATGGCTATGGCCCCCAGAGCAAGGCACAGTCCAGAGATGGCTCTGATCTCAAGATGGTGCCATGCTGCAGCAGCCTGGCTCACTACGGGAAGGGTGTGTACACACCCTGTTCTCCTAATCCAGAGTGATACAGCTATATGGATTCCCAGAAGCTCTTCAAACTGGGCACAGGGCTTGCAAGGACTGTGGGATTATTTTATAATGAGGACTTGGGGTCATTTACAGTGGCAATGGAGACTGGTGGGGTTCTTTTAACTTTTCCCTACAAGGGGACTTCCCTCCTGTCTCTGGGCTGATGCAATTGTGGCAGGCAAGACGGGACTACAGATGCCATGTGCCTCCATGGTACTCTCTTGGGCTTCCAATCACTACAAGTTCCCCTCTACTGCCCCACTGCACCTTAATGCTCTCTTTTCATAATTCCAGTTAAATATTAGCGGTTTATTCATTCCCTTGGTCCTGTCTTGTGGCAGGGATAAGAACTAGGCATTTCTAATCAACCTTCTTCCTGACATCACTCATTCCAAAATTCTTAGTGTGAGTCACAGTTTAAAAATTTGAAAGCTACTGGTAGTGGTTGAGAGTTTGAGTGCTATAGTCAAATTCCTAGGTTTAAATATTGACCCTAACATTTGCTTAATGTGAGATCTTAGCAATTGTTTTCACTTCTCTGCATCTCAGTTTCTTCACATGTAAGATGGATTGATAATGGTATCCATGAAAGGGGTGGTTATGAAAATTAAGTGATTTAATGTACATAAAGCTCATAGAATAGTGCTGGCCATATACAAAGCTCAATAGATATATAAGCAGCAGCAGCACCTTCATATAACATATGCCAAGTGCTGAACCATAATCCAGTGTCTGAACCATAATAAAGACTCAGTAGTGGTTTGTCATTGTGGAAGAGACTTCTGGTGCTCACCATACCCATTCACTTCTGTTTTCTGGCACACAGGAGGATGACACTTCCCCATCCCATTGAAGATAGGCCTGACTGGGCTCTACCACCAGATCTGGTCAAAGGATTATAGGTAGAAGTGATGTGTGCCACTTCCAGGCCTGAGCAATTGATTGCTCATTTGAGACTCAGGTTCTCTTTTGCCTTCCTAAGCCAAACCCTGAAGCCTTAGGTTGGGACAGCAGGGAAACAATGTGGTAAGACCTCCATAGCTTGAGTCCTTGAGTGACAATGTGAACAGAGCCTACTGCCACCCTCAGCTCCACCAGCTTGTGTTGGACATGTAGCATGTAACCTTCATTTGTTTATACCAGTTTTATTGAGGCATAATTTACATACCATATGATTTACCTTTTTAAATAAACATTTGGGTGGTTTTTTGTATATTCAAACTTGTACCAGATCTCGCAGGGCCTTGAATGCCAGGCTCAGGAGTTTAAGTTTTATCCTGTGTGAATTTGACAGTTCATAAGAAGTTGTCTTTTAATTCAAAATGTGTTCAGATTATTAAGGAAATAATCTGACAAAGAGTATTCCCCATTTGCTTCTGGCTTCTTCCTAATTTTTCCCAAACGTTATAAGTTGTATTTTCCTTCTTAGCATCATGTCATAGTTACATGACTTTGTTTTCCACTTTCACCTTAACATTACCTCATATATATTTTTCTCTGTGTCTTTATCATCTTTACTTTTGATGGCTATACCTTATATCTTGCTATTGTTGGATATTTATAGTTTTACTTTACGTATACAGCATTTTAAAAATACATACACATATGTGTATACCTGTGTGCAGGCCTAGGACTAAGGGGAGGCAAGAGCCAAGGACATAAATGTAAGGAAGCTCCTACCTTCTGGCATGAAAATTTGCACCTGTGTACCTCATTTGCCTTACCTTGGTCCCAGCCCAGCCCTATACCTGTGTGTGTGTGTGTGTGTGTGTGTGCGTGTGTGTGTGTGTGTTTTCCTTTTAAATTATTTCCTTGGGAAATAATTCCCATGATGGGAGATTACTGGTTCAGAGCATGTTAAGATTCCAATTACTAGAGTGTTTCTCAGGAGGATTCCATTGAAGTTTTTTTTTCCCTTTTTCAAACTAAATTTTGATATGTATACTTATCAAAAGATGGGAGATCAAAAATCTTGAGATGTGTACATTTTACAAAGATTACAGAGGCAATGGGGGATGTTGGGGGCCATTACAATAGCATGTCTCAACTAGAGTGCTATTGTTGCTATAGACATTCCACTGATACAACTTTTCACATTTGCATGGCCCAGCCAAAATATTCTGGGTTTATTTATTTATTTTAGAGACAGGGTCTTGCTATGTTGTTCAGGCTGGTCTCTAACTCCTGGGCTCAAGCAATCATCCCACCTCAGCCTCCTGAGAAGCTGAGACTATAGGTATCACTCCAACTTTAGACACAGTTATACCTTCACGCAATCAAGCTGTATACTCAATTATTATCAAAACAGCAACAAAGCCTCTGATATTGAGTCCATGTCCCTAACAGATGACCCTTCTGTGTGTACCAACCTGGCCACTCAAGGTGTATCATTTTCACAAGATATTAGCTCTTTGGATTTGGACCCAGGAGTTTCAACTGGCAGAGCAACCTCCAAGTCAAGAGGACTCTCATGGAAGAAGGAACTTGGCTGTTTTACACAAAGCAAGTTCCCAGTTTTAGGCTCAAGTTCAAATTCTGTTACTTGGGGACAAATGAATTTACCCAGTAGCAACAATTTTTATAGAAGTTACATGGAAAAATATCTGGGCTAGTCTGTTCCGTATAAATTTTTCCAGGAGGGAGCACTTTTAAAGAAAGCACTAAATGGAAAATCACCAGCATGGAGTTTAGAGAGGCCTAGTGCTTGAGTCATTACCAGGCAGATGAAGTTCCCAAACTTGCATAATTAGGGGAAAGATTGGAGGGTGATAGAGCAGAAAGAGCAGTTGGGGTGAGGTAGAGTATCATGAAGAGAGGTTGTTGGAAAGAAATCAAAATTGTCTTCAAGGATCTTCAAGTGACTTTTCTGAGGCTATCTTGGAAAAACGTGTTTTTCTACCTGCCAATTAGGGCTGATCAATTTATTGTTTTGTACCTTCTAATTTGAAATACTGGAAGCTACAATATTAGAGTTAACTTTTTCTTCTGTGGGTTTCTGTCAGTTCATTTTTCTTCTTCTAGAGAGTTTTGCTAAGTTACTGTACTGGAAGTTACTGCTTTGATAGAGTCTCACTTTCCAAAGACTGATGAAATTTGTTTTACTGACTCTGAATGGAGAGTCTTTCCAAATTCTTCTGAGTGTTCTGGATCAAGCTCATCAAGGCTTTCTAACCTCAAGAGCATCAAAGGATGCTGGCTTTTGGTGGAAGGCTTGCTGAACCACACCTAGTATGCACAGACACAGCTAACACCTGGTTAGAATGGGGTGCAAAAAGAGCTCTAGAAGGCTACAAAAAGGCTGGGCAAACCTGTATTTTGTGAAGGTGCTTTGCAAAAAGATTGCAAGACATTTTTCTGGCATGCACCTTTGTCTAAGAACAAAGTACGGTAAATTATATGTATAGTCAATATGATTCACATAGATTAAGGACAAGGTATTCGTCAAATTCCCAAAGAGCATCAAACTGGGGTTGGACAATAGACAAAGGCATTCTTCTGGGCTCTTAATGAAACCAAAACTTATTTCCAGTCTATGTATTTATGGGATGCCTGTTATTTTCGCTAAAGCATTCGCTTTCACACGAAATACAGCAGCTGAGGAACTCTTCTCTGCCACGCGGGACGGGGGCTAGCGATGGGGGCGGAAAGAATTCGTTGCCACTAGGACCTGGCGGAAAAAGCATCCCTGGCGGAAGAAGCATCCCCGCCGACCCCTGGGGTAGGCGGCCGCGGCACCTCCGACGCAACCAATCAGAAGGGTCCTTCGCGCAGCGGCGCGCCAACCGCAGGCGCCCTTTCTGCCGGCCTCACGGGCTATTTAAAGATACGGGCCGCGGCCACGACCGCACCGTTTTGGGCGGGGGTCTGGGGAGCGCAGCAGCCATGGCCAGCCACCTCGTGCTCAACAACGGCGCCAAAATGCCTATCCTGGGGCTGGGCACCTGGAAGGTAGGTGGTTGCGGGGCGCGGGACCTGGACTCGTCTCACACTCTCCGCGCGGCCTGCGTCGGGGAGGGACCCGGAGTGACCCTGAGAAACCCGCCCCGCGGACGCCCGGGTTGCTGGGTGTCTCGCGCCGGCTTGCAGGGTCCCCAACGGGCTGGGGTCAGCCCTGCGGAGACCCGGGCCTTGGCTCCCGGGGCTGGCCCTGGGCGTCAGGGGAGACATCCTGCGAGTGGGGTTTGGGAGCAGCTCACGGGAGCCCTCGCCCCACCGCGGGCAACCCTTGATGGGCGGCCCCCCAGTCCGCATTTGGTGTCCGAGCGGGCGCCCCAAGCGGCACAACGGGAAAGGGAGGCGGGGAAAGTGGGCTTAGCAGACCGGTGGACCTCCGGCGCAGAACAGGGACGTGGAGCCGTGAGCGAGGTGTGGGAGCGCGGCCCCAGCCTCCTTCCCCTCGCGGCACCTGTGGCCCCGTTGCCTTACTTGCAAATAGTTTGTCTCAGTCGTTTCCGTTCTTGCCCTCCCTCAGGAATACGCATCTTAAGCGCGTAGAGGGCAGAGAATTAAATTAGGTGGCGCGAGTTTGCCCGGATCCAGCTGCTAACAAGGCTCAGTGCGGAGCTCCTCGGCCAGGCGCCGCCTCGGGATGCCCTGGGCCTGGAGCTCGGGACAAAATCTGGGCACCCCATAGCCAGTTGATAATTCAGCAGGCGCCAAGATTAGCATTTTGCCTGGAAAACCTCAACGCCACACAGCGTCCCGGAGAAGTGCCTGGCCGGATGAAAATGACAATAGGACATGAAACACCATAGGATATGAAACATGATAATATGATATGAAAAACTAAAAATAATAGCCTGATTATCTGAAAATTGAGCAATAAATGTGGTATGGGAGCTGAGGCAAAAGCCAGTATTTTTAAGTACTAAGTATCGTGTATTATATTCCACAGCCATAACCTGAGTTTCTCTCTCTGTTTTTTCTGTTTTCGTTGTTTGTTTGTGATAGGGTCTCGTTGCCCGAGCTGGGGTGCAGTGGCACAATCATGGTTCATTGCAGCCTGGAACTCCTGGGCTCCAGTGATCCTCCTGCCTCCGCCCTGCGGGTAGCTGGGACTACAGGTGCTCACCTCTACACCTGGCTAATCTTTTTTCTCCCCTCCCCCCACAGAGACAGTCTCCCCTTGTTGCTTAGGGTGATCTCCAATTCCTGGGCTCAAAGCACTCCTCCCACCTCCCCTCCCAAATACAGGTGTAAACCATCTGGCACGCCCACGTCCCAGGTTTTTCTCTTAAAATTTAATATGGGCCTGGGCGCTGGATATTTACACACAGCCAAGGGAAGAAAACAACAGAAAGGACTGAGTGAACTGGGAGATGTTTGAAATAGGACCGAAGAGTTTACATGTACCCTAAAACCTGCTGTTGAAAATTAGTAAATATAAGGTGAGTAAGAAAAAGGTCATTTGCATCAGGGAGAGTGTTTCTTGGCCAGAATGATCAGGGTACATAATTTGTTTCCTCCAGAAAGTCCAGTGGTGTCTCTGAGGGTGTAATTGAATTACAAACATGACACCAAGCTAATTTCCGTCTGTTGCAGGTTATGCTCCTGGAATGGATGCAGAAGGATGCTTTCTTGGCAATTGCAAATACTTTCTAAGCATGATGCAGCACACAGATATACATGTATCTGGAATAAAAATTACTTGACAGTACTTAACCTATGTGGGCAGCATTTCAATATTTTTATTCTATTCCATTTTTCCAAAAATTATTGTCGTAACTCTAGAAGCTAGTTTTGTGACCCATCATTTGAAAATCACTACTCTAGGGTAAATACGGAGAAAAAGTTTATTTTTTTTTTGAGACAGGGGCTCACTGTCATCCAGGCTGGAGTGCAGTGGCATAATCATGGTTCACTGTAGCCTTAACCTCTTGGGCTCAAGCGATCCTCATACCTCAGCCTCCCAAGTAGCTGGGACCACAGGCGTGCCACCACACTCGGGTAGTTTGTTTTTAATTTTTTATAGAGACAGGTCTCCCTATGTTGTCCAGGCGGAGGAGTAAGTTTATGGAAGAAGGTTTCAGATCATTCACTTGAGCACTCCACGCCCCAAAAAGCTGTGTATTTGTTTAAGATAACATCACATCGTAACATCTGTACATTTAGGTTATGCATTCCAGTAGACAGTTCATTGAGAACTTGGATAATGTCTGCTTCATTCATTATTATTTCTAGCACTTCTCACAGTGCCTGGCAAATATAGTAGTAGGTATCCAAAAGTTATGTGTTGAATTCATGTGAAGAAGTAAAATGACTTTAGAGATAGCTGTATGGTGAAAGCGCCCACTTGTATTTCTGTGGATGAGGAGATCAGGTTGGTGTAGAATTGTATGGTGGGAGCAGCAGGGAATCGTGGGTCAAATTAATGGTATAAGGATGGACTTGGAGTCAACTTCCTTTTTTTCTTTTTTAATGACTTAAAACCTTTCCCTTGGGCCGGGCACGGTGGCTCATGCCTGTAACCCCAGCACTTTGGGAGGCAGAGGCGGGCAGATCATGAGGTCAGGAGATCGAGACCATCCTGGCTAACATAGTGAAACCCTGTCTCTACTAAAAATACAAAAAATTAGCCGGGCATGGTGGCACGCACCTGTAGACCCAGCTACTCTGGAGACTGAGGCAGGAGAATTGCTTGAACCTCAGAGGTGGAGGTTGCAATGAGCTGAGATCCCGCCACTGCACTCCAGCCCGGGCGACAGAGCAAGACTCCATCTAAAAAAACAACAAAACAAAACAAAAAAACCTTTCCCTTGTATGTGTGTATGTATTCTTTCACAGATGCTCGACGAAAGATGTGATCTTTTGCCTGTCTTTGTGACAGCTGGAGAAGGCCCTGCAGGCAGGTGCAGTTCCTTATTTTCCTGGGTCTTTCCATGCTGTAGCGGCTGTGTTGTACCTTTCAGACCCTCAGTAGGATTCTGGTAGTCTCTACTCTTGAAGGTCCTCAAATTCCATTCTCGCCTCAGGTGGAGGTTTCAGGCAGGTGGGGAGACCATCTCTGCCCCAGACCCGTGTGGCTTGGACAGGGTTTCTTTCTGGCAGGCTTGCCTTCTACAATGGATAGTAAACAAGGCCACTGGCCAGGCACAGTGGCTTACACCTGTAATCCCAGCACTTTGGAAGGCCAGGGCGGGTGGATCACCTGAGGTCAGGAGTTTGAGACCAGCTGACCAACATGGTGAAACCCCATCTCTACTAAAAATACAAAAATTAGTGTGGCATGATGGTGGATGCCTGTAATCCCAGCTACTTAGGAGGCTGAGGCAGGAGAATCACTTGAATCCAGAAGGTGGAGGTTGCAGTGATCTGAGATGGCGCCACTGCACTCCAGTCTAGGCGACGAGCAAAAAAAAAAAAAAAAAACTCCGTCTCAGAAACAGATAACAACAAAAAACCATCATAGCATTGTAAAGCCAGGAAGCTTTTAAAACAGAGATGATGTCTGGTGCCAGCCAGTGTCTCTTTACTGGTAAGTGTTTTTAATCTAGTTGAAAAATTGTTGGAGGTAAATAGTCATTGTAAGTCTCTTATGTATGCTCGCAGAATACTCCTAGGGCTGAAGGTACAAGTATGTTTCTCTACCTCCCTCCCACCTAGGAGCCTTGTGAGACTCCCCCCGCCCCCTGCATTTTGCCCCAAAATAAAATTGTAATGTCACAGATAATATTGTACTTCTGCTTATGGGCAGTAGCCTTCTAGAGGGTCACAAGCCATTCTCTAAGCTGAGGGGATTTTTTGCCCCAAAGAACTAATTTTTGTCTCTTTGGGGCAATAGCAACCACTTTGAGAATGCATGAGGTAAAAGAAAATGTGCCAAGAAAGACTTGCTCCACCTTCCCCAAGTGGGGTAAGCTCATGATGGCCCAAGATCCTTGGATGGGGTGAGGGTTGAGGCGCTGTGGGCATGGAAGTAACACAGGAGCTGGATTTACTGTTCACTTTCCTGGTGTCTCTAAAGCCCACATCTCCTCCTCTTCAAGACCAAAGAGATTTAAATAAGCCCTGCCCCTACAGGGTCAGTCCTGGTCCATCCACATCTCAACTAGTTAGAAATAGCAGTGTCTTAGAATTTGGGACAAATTGATGAAAATAGAACAGGAGGAAGTTAATCTCTGTTGCCAAACCTGATTCTGAGTGATGGTTTCCTGTTCCTTGCTCCAGGATTATCAGCACACCATTCTCATGGTTCCTAACCGTCATGCTTCCTACTCAGGACGGCTTCTTTACCCAAAGTGAAGTTTCCTTTGCCCCCTCCCCCTACCCTTTCATTTGAGTAGTAACACCTGCTAACTAGAGAACATTTCAAAAATGTACAACGAAGAAGAGTTCCTTCTTCCCAGAGATCCCGTGGTTAATATTGCAAAATATCCAATCTCTGAGATACTTTGGTTTTACCATAAACACGGTCCTGTGACGGTCTTCCTGTGTGGCACTGTGGCTTGCTTTTTGACTTGCAGAGGGAAGAGAGGGAGGGGTATCTTGAAGTAACTATCAAAGACCTGTAAGCAAAAGGGAAGAGGACTAGGTTTTAAAAGGAGTGTTGTGTGTTATCTGTGTAGGAGGGAGACACTGATTTTAGTTATCAGTGTCTCAGAGTTGGTATTAGCCGACCGGTGTTATCAAAGGAGGAAGCAGGACCCCTGTCTTGAAGAGGTGGTGGAGGACTCAAGGGCAGAGGCTTCTCACTGCCATCACTTGGTTCCCTCAGCCCAGAGCATTGCAAAGTCACTGCCCAACGTAGAGCTTTGCAGAGCCAGAAGTTCCAGGAGGAATGGGCATGCGTGGCTTTGCCCATTAAGGGCACACAGATTAGTGGCAGGATCGGGTTAGAAACATGTAGGATTTGCATGATTGAGTTGCAATTGGAGTGTTTCATATGCTGCATTTCTACAGCTCTTCATCAGTGATGGCTGTGCCTGGGTGCCACCCAGCATGTTTTCAGTTTACCTTCTTTTTAGACGTCAATCTGGACCCTTTCCTCTGTTCGCATTTTCTCTTCTTTGACGTGGAATGGGGAGATGTTGTCATCCTGTGTTGGCATTCCCAAGTTTAGTGAACGGTTTCTCTCCATAGCTTAAGTTGGCTGCTTCATTTGTCCTAAGGCAAATTAGTTTCTCTCAGGGAAGGGCTCTATATTGAGATCTTTAACAATGAATGTGGTTGTGGATCCTCCTACATTTTCATTGCAGAGATGACTTTTTCCCTGAGCACTCTGGTCAGCCTCGCAGCATACATGTCTCAGCGAATGGCACATATCCAAGGAACGATCAGCAGCAGCTTCCTCATGACCTCTTGCAGTCATTGTGTCCTTTACTTTCTAGAAAAACATCTCACGACTTTCTTTTTCATTTCATGCCAACTGTTTGACAACCTTGATTATCCTAGTCTGTGCTCTATGGATTCCAAAGAACTGAAAAACCACTTTAATCTTAAGCAGGAAAAAAAAAAAAATGTGTGTTTGGGGTAGGGATTGATTGACTTCCCAAACGACAGCTGCTGACGTTAGGTGTCTGAGATTCAGGGTTCTAAATGTTGTCACCAGGATTCAGCCTCCCTCTGCTTCCCTCCAGCAGTTCCAGGCTGACATTCTCCCAGCTCAGTGACCCCAGCAGAACCAGGGCTGGTCTTAGTGGTTCCAATTCAAGTGCAAAGATTGAGTCTCATGGCCTGGGTTGAGTCGTGTTCCTGCCCCCGCACCAGTTGTGTGGCAGGCAGTGTGTAGCTAGGCCGAGCCTGCGGAGTGTGCCCTCCCCTCTGTCCCAGGCTTCGAGGGATCGGGCAGGCACAGTATATATAGTACGTGCTGCAGCAGCTCCTCAGAGAAAAATCAAGGCACCATCAAGCCTGGAGAAAGTTCAGTGTGTCCTGGGCAGTTTCCTGCCTGGGCCCCAATTGTTCTCTCTGGGATAGGGATGTCCTCTGCTCTCCCTGCTCTCATCAGTGGTGACTGTACCCAGACACCACTCAGAGCCTGCAGTAAGGCATTCTTTCTGGAAATTGAGATTCTCTGTTCCTTCAACCGTGCAGAGTGGGGAAGGCTGCAAGAGCAGCTTCTGAGGCCCTCCAGTCAAATAGGAGGTTGCCAGGTCCTCTAAAGGTCTCCTCTTAACCCACACCTTCGATGAGCAACCCTACCCTGCCTCGCTGGTCCCTCTGAGGTGAAAAGTGAGCTCCTTGCTAACAGGCTCTGCTAATGGGCCTGTTCACTTGGGTGCCTTTCTTCCCCAACGCCTGTTGAAAATAGCTGATGTCAAAACACAGATGTCTGCAGCTGCTATGGCCCTGGGGGGTTTTCTTTTCATTTGTTTCTACCCCAGCTCTTCAAAGGAATGCACTCTGTTCATTCACCAGCCCACTGCGCACGTTTGTTGCTCAGCTCTGTAATCATAGCAGGATAGTGAAAGTTGGGGGGTACTTGTCCATGCAGTCTGTCTGGGTGCCAGTGAAGCGTGATGCCATGTAGGCACTTCCTCCTCTTCCTCAGTAACCAGGCTCCCCACAGCTGTTCTGGTCACTCAGATGGTCAGGTGGCTTGGCCATGGACACCCATTCAGTCATTTTGCCAGGTCTACCACTAACCATTTGGTGATCTTCCATGATCCACATTCCCCCTGGTTTCCCTTTAACTCATTTCTGTCTGCTAATATCTCTGAGGGGCCCTCTCCCCTGTCTCTATACCTCTTGAAGCAGATCCTCATACAGTGAGAATTGACATATGGGCCTTTGAATCAACATCAGTGATGTTCTTGACCTCATGATAATCTCCCAGAACTGCTTGAAAACAAGCAATTGCCGGTATCAGGAGCCATGCGTGAAAAGAGAGCATAAGGGGCAGGCATTTGCTGGCTGAACTGGGGGGCCAAGTGGGAATTGGGGCCCGTAGGACAGCTATTTTTGAAATATTTTCAGGTATTTGGAGGAAATGGTTTCCCTTACTATCTCAGCATTCAGAGTGTGGGGAAATGTTTTTAATACAGTGGTTTGCAAATCAGTGGATGTGAAGAAGCAAGAAAATGAGATGACTTCAGCATATCTTATAA